TGACACAAAGTTGCACAATTTGGATATAAAAATTTGCATAACCGCCCAAAAATATTGTTTAATTGGCTTTTTAGTCAAAATCCTAAGAATATGCAACAAACTTTTATTACTTTATTACTGAATATAAAACTGCATTATTGCGTAAATACGAGTAATATAAATTGTAATTCCTTGTAATAATTACTTAAACAAAGTTACAATTTTTCTTAACATATAATATCGTTTTAACTTTTCCTTTGTTTGGGTCCATTTGGTTATTAAAAATGTGAACCGAAAACAGTGGAAGCTAATAAATTAGCCATCTTCGGCAAAATGTCACATGTGCATTTCCTGTGTTCAAGGGTGCACACAAGAAGGGGTTCGGCATTAATGACGTCAAGTAAATCACCTCGAGATAGCACAGTGGTTAAATAATATGTGAGAAGGAAATGTCAATAGTAAAAATATCGGAACCGGGTGCAGGAAGATTCCAAATTCTTGTCAAATATTAACATGTGTGCATTTTACATGTGTTTTGACTAAAACTCGAAGAATTAATTCATAGAAAACCGCCTTAAATACTTCTTTCTATCCATTGACTTTTTAGGTAAAATCCTAAAGGTGGCAACAGACAACATTTTATAACCATGCAGAAATAAAACTACAATTTGGAATGATTAATAAATAAAAAATATAATTTTACGTTTAATTAATTGTAAAAATAATTTAAATTTTGGTTTTTTTACAAGATATAATCATTGTTTTAGAGGTTATCTTCCAGCCTAAAACTTATTTTAATGTGTTAATAATAATTATAATTATTTATTATTATAATAATTTATTAAGAATAATTAACATTCCAAATTAAAATACGTACTGGATTTTATCAAAAAAATAAGGTACATTATTAGCTTCTTGTCAATTAACGTGAAATTTGAATGTTTAATAAAAAACGAATTTCATAAAATTAATTAACGTTGTTGAAATTTATTAAAAACCTTTGAAAATAACAGACGATAATTATCAAAGAAAAGTCGTTAAATAATTCAAGACTAAAGTAAGGGGAGAGAAAAAAGCGACAAACATAGAAGAGTACCTAATATAAGGATAAATAATTAATTTTGCCGCCATTTTGAAAACATTGATCAATCGGTTGTAAGGGAGATTGCAATTAAGTATTTCTTTTATTACCGAATATCCTAATCTTAAAACATTTTATATTTCAAAGAAAGTTTATTTAAAGTGGTAATTACAATTATTAATTAGGAACCTTTTCAAAATAAATAAAACGATCTTTTATTTATTATTTATTTAACTTTTATGAATGAATATTTTTAATATTAAACTGTAAAAAAAAAGGTATGTAAGGTAATACAAGTTGACCACCCCATTTTCGGAAGAAAAAAAACCTTCGAATGAGACGAATTATTTCGGTCGATTATTGCATTGAAAAGAGTATAAAACGTCCAAAAATAAAATCCACCCGTTTTTGACATTTGAATGTAAATGAATAAAATGCAAATAACAATCCAAGCGACAGCTGCACCGATAATAATAACGAACCCAAAACGAAACCCTTAAATATCGAAAATATTATACAATATACAAATTGCATTCAAATCGAAAAGAGAATGGTTTTTGGAGAAAATCACAAAAGTGCAGGGGGTATAATAATTATTAAAACTATAATTTTATCCATAAAATACGGAAAAGTTTTAGCCGTAATGGGAATAATGTTATACCTACATACTGTTATAATTTTCCAATAAAAATTGGGCGAACTAATTAAATAAGTTAAACGCTTAAAAAATGTTTCGTCAAATATTTTCTATTATTCGAACCATTCGAATAATTCCAACCATTACAATAATTCCAACCATTCGAATAATTCGAAACATTCGAATAATTCGAACCATTCGAATAATTCGAACTATTTAAATAGGTCGAACTATTCGAATAATTTTAACTAATCTAATATTAGATATTAGTATATACTTTTTCTACAACCAATACTTATTATTGTCTAAAAATGGTTTAAATTAAATATTTGTATAAAGCGATATCTATAGATATCGCTTTATACAAATATTTATAAATAAAAATAAAGTAACCGTAAGAATGGGAATCTGTTACCGGCAAATGTCAAATTTTTCTGGACTAAAAATGGACTATTAACCGTTTAAATATAAGACCGTGCTGCTGGTGAAATCAAAAGGTACAAACGTACGTTTACATATAAACTTTTTAAATATTGGCGTTAAGAAACTATTTAATACCTTTTAATTTGTGTATTAAATTAATACAGTAATTTTCACATTTAGTATTATTTCACAAGAAGGGCACTTTATTTTAACGATTATATGACATTTGACAACTGTCCACTAACTTAAAGCTAACATCAGCCCGTGACTAAAAACCTGTTGCTAACTTCATCCCCTGACTAAAGCGCCATAAAGCCCATAGCTTGTCAATGTGTATTTAAGAGATCAGGAGTATAAAAAATATATTATGTATAGGTAAAACCATTTAAAAAATGGTTTTCTTCTTAACGTATAGTGCCCATATTGTAAGAACTGGTCAAATATCTTGTCACCGTGCAGTCACCTAGCCACGACTATCCGGCACTGATGAGGTTTAATAAGACCAAAACAGGCTGTCTATCCGTGTACTGTGACGAGGTATTTGAGCAGTTTTCACAACTTTTGTTATATTGCCTATTTGCATATTTAGAAACATAGATTTCAATCACAACTTTGTAGGTATTTTGTTTTAATAGTATACGTGTAGTTCAAAGCAATATTAATTAATCATAATAAATACATAATAATTATTATACCATTAAGTATATTAACTTAATGATGTTTAGTTATTTTTATTTTTATCATCTCGTTAATTCATCAAATTTTTAATACTAAACTTTTTTTGCGCTTTTATGTTATGCCAATTTTATTGTATACTTTTATTTGAAAGCAAGGTAGGTACACACAAAACGTTATTTCAGCGTAACATTCAATTAAGTTAGATTAGGTAACGAATATTTGAGAAGATTTTTCTCTTTAAACTGGGACCAATATCCCAATATTAGTAACATATTTTATAATTTTGAAATTGTTTTGCATTAATCGTTGACTATAATCTAATTGTTGATTATGAGTCCTACTAAATGATCCAACAATAAAGAACTTCACAAAGTACCTATTATTTTTATAAATGTATTCTTTCTAAAATAATAATTGTAGAAACGCCCACAAAAAGTGACAATTAGCTTTTAAACTAAAGAAATGTAACAAGTTTTCTAATTTTTGACCATTTCTTCGAACATAACAGTAATTTATAGTGGCGTGGAACCAAATTTAAATAGTGCCAATTATTTACGGTCAGCCGGCTGACCATCAAAGGATTTTTGGTTTTTAGGGCACTTTTACCTATTAAATTTTGGCCTGATTTCGTAACTGCAGGGTGGTTTGCATCACCCCGTTGCGAAACTAGAGCAATTTCAATCCCTTCTTGGAAAACAATTAAGTAATTTACATGTTTACAATGTTAAGTAAAAGTTTTACTTACGCTATAAATGTTAAGCAATTATACGATTAAAAAATGTTAAGGAAAAAACACTTTAAAAATGGACCAAAATAAAAATATGAATTCATAATTTTAAACCATATGTGAAGGTTGACCCAGGTCAAAGAAGGATGTGACGTCAAGGATTGTGTGTAAAAAGCACAACCATCGTTCGACTTCTAGGAAACGTCAAATGTGCTTTATATCATCTTCCTTTTTTATCTATTCAGTGTGTTGGCCTTCGTATTATTAGTTTTTGGCCCTTTCTATGAGTCGGTACCTGTTGAAGAATTTTTTGCAAATAAAAATCTTTATTATAGTTAATCTGACATAACCAATTGATGTACCATGGCATTAGGTTCAATGATTTTTTATACAATTGTTCGGACAAACTAAAGAAATCGGATTTTGTTTACCTCAGCCAGGCATTTTAATCATGAGGTACTTAAATACTTTTATTTTTGCTTTATAAAAATAATTATATTTATTATAAAATGTTAAGTTAAAAATATAAGATGAAATATTGTTGCGAGGAGAGTATAAAAGGGTCCGAATCAAAAGAATATTTCATTAAAAAATAATTTCCTTCATAAAATTCTGTTTTGTTTTCGGTCCTAATTAATTTTCTTATTTTCATGAGCGAAGCATCAACGGTTTTTCTATTGAAAAAGGGCTTTTTGTGTACAAAACAGGCACACAATGGCCTACATCCACGACACAATACCACGTGCAACGCAATCCATCCCCAGAAGCAAGAAACGAAGTATTCTAATACTTTTCGCATTTTAGAAAGTTTATTAATTTTTATACAATATTTTTCCACAAAATAAATAAAGTACCTATCTAATTAAAACAGTTTCGACTCGAAACCAAATTACCAAGTTACTAATTGTGTCCGTTACTTTCCAAATTAGATTTTCCTTTATGGTCCAATTCAATTGTTTGATATGACACTTAAATAATTTTGAAACAAAAAGATATTTCTAATCCTTAAAACAAGGATAACGAAATACATGTATCTAAATGGCTTCCCAAAATAAAAGGGCGCTAGTGTTCTGTTTTTTCACATACTTCCACACATACGGGGTGTGTTCAGAAAATAACGGGAATTTTTAAATTTCGCGGGTTTGGAGAGTCCGGTTGTCATAAAATTATCTTTATTATGTTGGTATACATACCCCTGAAGAATGACAAAAATTTTAGATGTTTTCATTGTTTACTTAGTCTGTGGCAGCCGATAAGGTTATACATGTTTTTATGAGCTCGGCGACTTTCGTTCGTTAAAAGAAATGGATCAAAGAATTTGTATCAAATTTTGCGTAAAAAATGAAATAAAGTGTGTGAAATGTTAAGAAAGGCGTATGGTGAGTCTGCTATGAGTAAAACAAAAGTTTTAAGTGAGTTTCCAAGTTGGCCGTAAAGAAGTTAAAGGTGACGAACGCTCCGGACGCATAAGCACATTAACAACCGATAAAAACATGGAAAAAGTGAAAGAAATGGTTATGAACGATCACCGAATCACAATCAGAGGAGTTGCTGATGATGTTGGCATATCGATAAGTTTATACACAATTTTTTGCCAAAAACAATACTGTAATGATGCCCCACCCTACATATTCGCCAGACATGGCTCCGTCTGACTTTTTCCTATTCCCCAAAATAAAGAGAACCTTAAAGGCCCGTCGTTTTGCAAGCATAAATGATATTAAAAGCGCATCGCTGAAAGAACTAAAGACTATCCCAAAGAACGTGTTTGAGAAGAGTTTAGAGGATTAGAAGAAGAACTGGCACAAGTGCATAATATCTAATGGGGACTATTTTGAAGGCGACAACTTTAATGTAGACGAATAAATAAATATTTTTTTCAAAAAACGAAAACGTTATTTTCTGAACACGTATACCGCTTATTCGCTATATTTTGTATAGATGACGTTGTTTCCTTTTTTGAGGGGAAATTTGTCGATTTGCCGTATCATTTTACCTTATGCGCATATAGTTAGTTCATAAGTGGACCATAGACATAGTAATACGTCCACATATGATACGAATTGTCAACTAAATAAAATTTAGGTTGTATAATTTTTTTAAGTCATTTGCATACATCGCCTAGGTTAAGCTAACATAAATTTTTTTGGTTTGACTTAAAAAAACAAAAAGTGGCACAATATGCATGTTATGTAAAAGCCAATAAAAATCTCGTAAACACAATTGAAGAAAACCAATGCCAAAACAATTGGTATACACCAGAAAACAAACAAAATGGTTAATTATAAAAACCATTTTCTTGCTGTTTTAAACAAGCCATTATAAAATCTAAAATTTCATAATTTTGTATGTATTTATTATACTTTCATAACTCGCTAACAAATATTGTTTTATCTATTTTTACTCTACCCTGACCCCTATATAATTTAAATTGTTAAATTTATGAAAAAAAAATTGGAGCGTAAAAATGTCTATACTCTATAGGATACAAGATACAAGAATATGGTCGCGCTCCGAGCACCTAAGGCCGTAACCGTCCAAAAATCGATTTCTGGATTATGATTGTTTTAGTCTAGAACTTCTAGATTAATTAAAGACTGCTCTTTAATTATCTAAAGTCAAATATTAATTTATAAAAAAAGAATATACAGCGATACTTTTTTTGCACGTATTATAAGAGAACATTTTTATAGAACCTCATAGTGCAAAAAGTGGGTTAATATTCGAGTTGCATACATTATTTTTTTAAATACCATTAATAAATTCATAAATAATTAATGTGAAGAAAACATTACATTTACAATTATTTTATTTTGACATACATATACCTATGTAGATATGTCAAAATCTTAAGCTCTCAGGGAATAAATTGTCTATAATGTACTATTTTTTCAAGCGTAGGTATAATAATCTTTAAATTTTAACACTCATAATTGAAAGACTTCATGAATATGCATATTAATACTAGTTCAAAAGTCAGTATTATAAAACTCCGTACAAAAATAAAGTTAAAATGTCATCATGACAGTTGAAGTTGAAACAAAATTTTTAGGTTAGGTTCAAGTTGCTGTATATTTATTTATAGTTAGTAAGTCATATCGTTAAGTGAATTGGCGTAGCGATCCTAAGTACCTACTGCCTTTCCTATTAATGAATGAAACTCCCTAAACCCCACAAAATCTTTCTTTTTTATTATGTGACATGACCACAAAATTTTGCAACCAAAAAAGTCTTTGAAGCGTTTAAATTTCGCAGTGGAATAAAGGTGATCAAAGTCGCACCGATAAACCTCGATAATGGTATTAAACCGCATCAGCAGTACTAATGACAAAACATGATATTTAAAGGGTTTTTCTATGAATATCGACAAAGATTATCTCCTTTTTTTAAAGTGTTGTTTTGAGACGGCATCAGAAACCACATAAAGGGCTTTTAACCGAACAAACAAACACAATAATAATCCTTCCAAAATAATCCTTTGGTGTAAATATCACCTTTAGGTACAATCATATCGATGAAAATTGCTGTAGGGTTACTACTAATAACTTACTAGGTATACCTATATGAAGGTTTAACAAAGTATTTAGTACTGATAGTTACTTTAACAAAAACTATCAGTACTTAATACTTTGTTAAACCTTCCTATAAGTATACATATAGGTACATATATATACCTATAGGTATACCTACATAATTCAAAATGATTTAATTTTTATGGTTCAGAACATTTTATTTGAGTACCTATAGTATTTTTTAGAGCGTGCACGCTCTAGAGCTAGACGCGCACGCTCTAGAAAATGGTGTTTCCTAAAGGAGCCAGTATTTAGAAAACTTACGATAAAAAAAATAAAATGACTTTTTCACGTGGAAAAGAAAAAAAAATTATACATATATTAATATACGTATATTAATATTAAGAGATATATTATTTGATATGCTCTAGCAAAATTTAAATGCACGTTTGACAAAAAATCTTTTATTTTTGAAATACCCTAATGGTCTCCTATTCCTCATTCCTATTCCTATTTGTATTTAAGTAAAATAGTGTTACTGTGTTTTTTAACATATTAATGTCTACCAGTGGCGGATTGTGGATTTTGGGTATACCGATATCTTAGTTAGTAGACATGGGACCCACACCAAAGTTTTGGTATGAGTTTATAATGTGAAGTTTGCGAAAAAGTTAGTTTTTCAGCGCGCCTTACCAGCCCCCTGCCACCCCTAATTAAGATTATTCAAATTAAAGTAGTGCAATTCATAATTCACTACATTTTATCGACAAATTTCAAAATTTATTTAAAAGATCTAAAAATTACAAATTTTCGAGGGTTGTCTCACTGTTGGCATTAGATGTATATTTTCTCGGCAGTCGCTGGCAGTCGATATAAATTTATGGCAGTCATAGGCAGTCTTCTTGGAGTCAGTGGCAGTTATTGGCAGTCGCTAGGAAGTCTTTGGCAGTCGCTAGACAGTCGCGGCAGTCCGCTTCAGTCTCTTGGAATTTAGCAGTCACTCGGCAAATTTCGGAAAGTTTCGTATAAAAAGTATTTTAACCTTCCAAACGTACACATAGCAAGCAAGCACATACACCTTTTTCTATGACATACACACTCAGAGAAATATCAAGTTATAAAAAGCATATGAAATTATATTAATTTAAATAATCGGGTAAATTTGATTCAAATAGAAAAATTTGTAGTTTTATATTCATTTACCAACAGTTTTACAATGTTTTGAAACACTTTTAAAGTGTACCCTCTTTAAAATATATATACAATAAGAAATACATTTATTTCATTGCCTTTCTCAAAGTTGTTTCAAAAAGATATGTAATATACAATTGTTATGCACCTATTAATTTAATGGGACACACCAATGACGCCAAAACATATTTGAATCCCTTTGAATTATTATCGTTTTGAATGATTCTACAACATTTTTTCTCTCAGTGCATACAAGTTTTGCCAACTTTTTACGAACCGGTTGCCTCTTTATCTTAGAAGTTTTGAAGTTCTTCATATAAAATCCCTTATCATAAGGGCCTTATGTTCTGTGTAAAATCCCGAAGGGGTATTTTGGATTCTGACATTAGGCAACCCAGAGGAAGCAGTGTTTTTTTTCGTAAGTAAGGTATTCAGTACATATTGTTATTCACGATGTTTTTTTTCAGTGTGTATTTAACCGTAAAAATGGACAAAGACGTTATGTGCCACTTTAAAAGAAATCGTTTCTCGCGATTTTCTATTTGGGGTATTTTGGGGTTTTTAGCTGCAACCTTTGGAGGAAATTTTCAATCTGGCAGCGCTGCTATTTGCACATTTGCTATTTTTGCACCGAAGAGGACGTGTCCTCTTTTGATTCTACCCGACTCACTTCGTTTTTTAATTTTTATATAGCAATTGTTAAATACTAATACTTAAATTACTATTAGGTATATGCGTTTTTAAGAAACACATTGTAAAAGAAATTTTGATGCAATCTTTTGACATGGTTGTGACATGATTTAAACGCGGTTGACTTATTCAGAAAAGACTTTTGTGGACGTTCGTTTTCAAAGGATTACGGAATGTGCACAACGTGTCTATTATTTGCCTAGTTGTCATCCACTATCCTCAACCCCACTATGCTTCAGGTGGCTAAACTAGTTTTTAAAGTAAAAATTGCCGAATTGCTGCTTTTTGCATTTTATTTCCAAGCAAATAATAGATACGCGAACCTTTGAAATATTCCTTCATATTGCAATATATGTTTAGATATAAAAGCAAATAAAGGGTCTTTTTATATGGTTAGGGTTGTCTTAAAAATATGGACATTGTCCAATAGTTATACTCAAGAAATCTAACGACCGGTAGCTATCAATCAATATGTATACCAGGATATTTATTCTTTTTCTTTACAATAATCTTAATAAAACTTATAAGAGGCATCACTGAAACTAAATGTTGTTAGGACTTTATGTGCTTTTACGCAAACCTTTAAGATGTTACCCTTGCAACGAAACAGGGGTGTACAAAATGTGTACGGTTGTGTAGAAACTTAGAAGTTTGAAAATGTATTGAAATGTTTTTAATTTTGATTAATGATCTACGTTTCTGTAAAATAAGGCTAAAAGTGTAATTTAAAAAAAAATAAAATAACTAAAAGGAATACCTTGTATACACTGCAAAAAATATCTGTGTGTAAATTCTCTTTTTTTTTTGTTAAATTTTTGAATAAATTTTGTGTAAAAATCGTGTAAATACTTTTACACGAATGTTCCTAAATTGTGAATCAACACTAAAACGTGTAACCACTTGTTAATTTACACTTTAATGTGTTATAAACTCATATTTAATAAATATCGTGTTATCTTACACGAAGTTGTGTACATTTTAACAAATATCGTGTAAAATTTGCCCCACCCTTAGTGCCGAAGCTAATCGCCATTGTTTTTGCTTGTTTTATGCGAGTCTTGCCTTCGGTGCATTTATATAGATATATTGTGCTGGTGATTTATAAAAGATTATTTTGTGTTACAACGCAAATAAACACATTCATATACCTACATATTTAATATGAAATTTAAACTTCGACTTTAAACAAAGTGGGTAATCGCAAATTTGCCAGTAGCCCATGAAATTTTGTCTTCTTTAGGTAAGTAAATTTTCAACAATTAAAATCTGGTGTCGTTTATTACTTAATATTGTAGATGCGGCCTTTTAGCCAAGCAGGGCAGTATTTGTTTTTAACTCAGAACAGTTTTTAACTCTACAGTAATATAATTTGTTTTATATAAATGTATTATAATATAATTAAATGTCATTGATTAAGGTTTACTCCTTCACTTAAAATATGATGTCTTATTGAAATTATAAATTACTTTTTTAAATAAAAATATTTTTTTACGCGTAATTTTTATTTACCTACCCAGTTTTTAGTAATAAATTTAACACGGTAAAATATTAAAAAATAACACCAGCTAGTGTTAAATTTAATACCTAAAGTTGTGTAAAACTTACACAAACAATGTATTAAAGTTTAATTATTCTTCGTGTAAAAATGTACACGATATAAATAACAAGTCAACACACTGAAGCTGTGTTAAAATATTAAACGATTTCTTCTGGACTTGGAATAACACAGTTTGGTGTTGGCGCGTGTAAAGTTGTGTTAATTATTTTTTACAGTGTAGGTATTTATTTTATTTTTCTAAATCTTTTTTAAACTTATTATTGAATTTGTTTAAAAAATCCCGGAAAGTTTCAGAAAGACCTTCAGAATTTATATTTTATTCCTCCGTGGTCCTTTTTTAATTAACTATGTATAGCTTTTAATAAAAATATATGTACAAATACGGGGAAAATGAATTGCATAACAATTCTGTCAAACTTTGGCCAACCTCCATTCTACAAAAAAATATTTCCTAAATGAATAAAATACAATATGCTTTCGTGCCCATGCAATTTTTTAAAACTAATCTATATCTAAAATGTTTTATAACAGCATGCCA